AAACACCATGAGGATAACAAAGCACCGGCACAGGCCTCCCAGGGAAGTTATGGAGTCTCCATCCTTGAAGATACTCAAAAGCCATCTGGACATGGTCCTGGGCAACCAGACGTAGATGGTCCCACTTGAGCAGGGGGTTGGACCAGATCCCTTCAACCTCAGCTACTCTGTGATTTGGTGAACCTCTCATGTTCTCTCTCACATTCTCTGGTTTCTCATTGTTCAGACTGTCAGCAGCATCAACAACTGAGCTGACCAAATTTAACAACTGCTTAGTAGTCTGTCAGTTAAGTACAACAGAAGGGTCATGTAGTTATTCCCCTCAGTGATCTGAATCTGATTATCTTCATTAACAAGTAAGGAAGCAACATAAAGCTGTGTGGCTTGATAGTCTATCCACTGGCCTGAAGCCCAGCAGGTAAATCTAGTGAATAGCACTGCTCCACAGCTTCTGCATGGGGCAGTGGCTGCTGCAGTGGCTGCAGCGCACCCCCAGGTGTCCGTGCAGAAACAAATGGGCTGCACTCCCTCAGCAGCAGAGCTGCTGGGCAGGAGTTACTGCAAGAGGGATGGGGCTGCTGCAGCTGGCCCAGCCAGCTCTGGCCCAAGCACAGCCTGTGAGCTAATGTGAATTCCTTGGCTCAAAGCAAATACCTGAATTCTTTGGAAACCACAGGAATCCAGCACAGAAATGGTGAATATCCCAGAGGAGCTAGTATCAATTAGGAAGCCAGGCTACTGAAGGAAGGGTGACACAAGGCTGAGTGGTGTGAGCTCAGGTGGCTCATGGCAGCTAGTGGCACGTGCTGCAAAGCCCAGCATTCTAAACCCAGAGCAAACCCTTGTGTCCCACTGGAAAGTCCCCCCAAGCTGCTGCTCCTCGGGCCTTTGGCAAGAATGTTTGGGTTTCAGATCAGTTGTGATTCTTTTTCTCTAATCTATTTTTCAAATTCAGTGTAAAACTGAATGGCAAGTCCCTGATGGTCTATGACCCTTCCAGCTATTCAAGCTCAGAAATAGAGCTGTCTAAACATGGTTCAGGAGAAAAAGCAGTCAATCAAGAGGTCTCCCCAAAACAAGGAGCCATTTCACTATGAATTCCCCACACTATGTGTCAAGCCCTCATCATGCCTGCAGGCACCAAGTAAGAAAGGTCCACCAGGCTCCTTTCTGTCACACAGAAGGAGAGGAAGTTCAACAGGAGAGAGAGGCAGCACAACAGGGAAGGTTCAAAAACACACAAGCTATTCCCAGCCCTATGCTCTCTTCAGCTGTACTTCAGGCACAAGTCAGGCTTGTTATTCCCCACTTACATGACTGCCCCTCCAAAATCCAGCATAATCCAGCACCAATTCAACAGCTGGCTCTAAGTGAAGCCTTGGGACTCCTACATAACTGGGCTTGGTGAGTCACTGTCAAAGTTTATGATTACACTGTAGTTTATTAACAATGTACCTCTTATTCAAACTAAGATACAAAAGGTATGTCAATAAATATATTACACTGCCTGTTTTGGAAATCTCAGATAAATAAAACTGCCAAGATTTTTAATGTATGATCAGATGACAGAGTTATACCCTCAGGCAAACCTGGACCAAGCTTGCCATGACCATCTCATTTTCCAAACCTATACCTTCAATGCAAGGGTCCCAGCTACAATCCTCCAGGCTGTGATCACAGACAACCAATCTAGATTATAATTGTCTTTTCCAGTAAAAAGTTACTAAGTATCTGCCAATTTAACATATGTATGGCAGTACACTGTGCCTACTTTTTTTTAACATGTACTAGCAAAGTGTTCAACACACTTTTCAATCCAACAGGAGGATCTTAAGTCACCCAGTGCTGCTTTATGTCTTATGCACAGCTTCAGCCTTGTTTCAAGCCGCAAGTAAGAAAAGAAAATCCCTGCCCCACCCTACTCCCTCCAAAGAGATCACTGAATATCTCCAAATTAATCTATTAGCAGCATTCCTGCTAAAGGTCCACCAGGCACAAAACATGCAAGGAGTTTTGACAGAGTTTGAAGAAGGCATGACTAAAAAGTTGTATTGTAACAAAAGATAAAGCCACAGCATGTTCACTGATACCACTCTTAAAAACTCTCCAGAAGTCTCATAGTTGACTCTGCTCACTTGAGGCTCTGTCCCTTTATACAGCTTATTCCACATGAGTGGGGTGGAAATAGCTAGAAAAAGAACCTACTCAACATCAGTGCTTCCTACGTTCTACTCAGTATTCTTTCAGAGGATAAACAGAAAAAAAAACCTAAACAAAAAACCCAAATAAACCAAAACAAAAAGCCACACAAAAAACAAACAAACAAACAAAACCGCTCTAACACAAACATTCTGAGGTCATTATCTGACTGGAAAACTGCATTTAAAAAAATTAATAAAAAAGAGAGAGAGAACTTTGGCATAGGCAAACCAAGTAGCTATTTAGTTCTTCCAGCACAACAGCTGAAGGCTTTGTTACACACATCTGGGTACATACCCTTCCTATCTCCTTTAGATGAAAACTGGAAAGTGAAATAGAAGATACAAAAATGTTGGATCCACAATCTCTTACTTCTCAGCTCTGAAGCCTCAAATTCCACTCTAGATCATGTCATGACAGATCTAGCTGTGCCAGAAGAAACAAGGCCTAAGGAACTATCTAGTCAAACATCACAAATGTTTGGTATACCAAGTCTGTTCCTTGTAAAGATCATTACATCTTATGGGTTCCTCATAACACTCCTTTTCTGGTAGAGGCCACCAAGTTTAACAAAGCAGTCAGGTTCCTCTTGGAATATGCAAAGCATAACACTAGAGAGGAACATGACCTTTCAGACAGACTAAGAAAATGGAAACAAATAATTAAAACACCAAGCTAGATCATCCTTACTACACTTCACAGACTATCTGCCTTCAGAAAGCAAATTCAAAACATGGAAGTCACCAGAGTACACCACAACCACTAGCTGAGGTTCCAAAACCAGATTGCTTTGTTCTGCTGGCATTTTGCACCTTGGATTGCTTCTATACCACCTTCGATTCCAGGCCCAGACATTACCTCCCAGTTCTCTGCTAGAAATTGTTTCTACCCTTAAGCAGCATGGGGTTTTTTTTACTCCTTAAGCAAAGTATTAAAAGCAGCTTCTACTCCCCAAGGTTAAAACATTTCCCTCCCCCTAGAGCTAAATTTTTGTCCCAGCTTTAAACCAAAGCATTACATTACGTGAGGCAATACAGTGGTGTCTCCCAGCACATAACTCCCACTAAAATGAATGGCAAAACAGCTAAATAGGAAGCCATAACTCGGTAACTCCAGGTTCTTTACCTCTCACCAACTGAATCTGCAAATGCAGAGTATGGAGAAAACACGAATCGCTCCAACTGAAGTGCACTGGTGCCATCTGGAGGCCACCCAGAACAGCCCACCTAAAGTTTTACCAGCCTCTGCTCACCTTCAGCCTTGTCCCCCAAGGAGAGCTTGCCAGCACTCGCAGCATGAACACACCAGCTGAACAACCACAGTAGATGGGGAAAGCTTAAGGATAATTAAAGATACTGTCTGCAATAAACGTACAGCTCTCATGTGAAAGCATTCAACTACAAGTGTTTAGCCATAGCTGACACTTCAGCTGAAACTCCTCAGTGGGCTCTTGAAGTTTAATAGCAGAACCAGAGCTACTCCCCATAGCTCTGAAATCGCTCTTGAAACTCCTTTGTTACAAGATCTACAGAACCACCTTTAAGATAGTAATGATGGTGCAAATCCTATTTTTGAAGGCCTGCTACGTACCGCGCATTCTGAGAACATACTGGAATTATACACTATCTTGTTTCCCTCTTCACTTTCCAAAAACATGCAGTTACTAGCAGCTAGCAATTAAGCTGCCAGTTCCCAAGAGAAAAGTCTTGCATGACTGGCATGTTTAAGGCTCCCTTTCCCAAGTGAACACAGTTGTTAAGCTTTCCACTGACAAAGATGAGCTTCCCCTTTCTACCTCCTTTTAGGGAAAAAATGCATTCACATTATCTTCACAGGCAGAGGCACATCACAACACACCTGAAGGGTGTTCATCAATTTAATGGATACTTCTTGTGGGATCATTATTTCTGTATTCTCTGGGATTCACTATGTTCGTGACACAAAGAATTTGGATTCAGTATCTACCCAAGTCAGAGCTATGTCAGGTCTGAACCCTGGAGATATTCTGAATGAAACAAAGGTGCTTGTAAGAAAGATACAGCATTGCTTAAAACTGAAGACAGCTGCATGGTGCTCTTTTCTCAAACATCAGTACAGCTAAAATTCTGATCCACAGAGAATTCAGAGGGGTGATTGCTTCAAATCCAGTTACTACAGACAAATATTTTGCTAAACTTCTGTAACAAAGAAAAACAGGTATTTTTGGCAGAGGAGTATTGATTCTAGCTATCTTTCATGACTTACATGCAAAGGAAAATTGTTATCTTGCAGAGTAAAAACAGTGAACTAGCCTAAAACCATTTAGTAGATATTGCAGAAAATAAAACGCTGACCTAAAATTTAGAAGAGTCATTGAAATGAATGAGTCACTGAGCTTATTCATTAACAGGTCTGCAGCTGCTTTTTTTTTAAGACAAATTTAAGAAAGCTTAGATTCCCTTCCCCTCAGAGAAGAGAGAAGAGGCACTATGGTATCAACAATCCCAAGTTTCAAGAAGAACTGAACCTTGAGAATGAACATGCCAGTGACAATCTGTTTGGCCATTTAACTCTCGAGAGTTGAAAATGTATTTTATTAATTATATATAAAAACAATAAAATCCCTCACTTAAGGTCTTATAATCTATATGAAGAAACCTGATGGGACACAGCACAATGAAGTATCATCTATTTCAACTCTGCAGAATTCCTTAACTGGCACTTTCTTCATTTTACTATTGTTTCAGGAGAAGAGAGGCAAGCCAAGAAATGTCTGAATCACCAAATGCAGGTACACCAAAAGTCAAAGAATTCTCCCATACCTGGCCAATCCTTCCTCGTAGAGATAGACAACAAGGGGATCATAGGATGTAACCAGAACATAGAGACGCACATCGAACTTGAAATCTGAAATAGAGTTGTCAGGAGTCAGTGACTGCAAATATCTTTCAGACATCATAACTAGTTGAGGAATTTCAACAGACTCTGAGAGCAATAGACCATTACCTACTGCTGATATAGGTGCCTGAATCTGTCCCAGTTGTAAAGCTTCCAGGTTTTAATGAATCTTTAGTTACATTTGTCTGATGCTAGACCAAGCTAGACCACTCAATTATTCAACTAAACTCCTCCAAAGCTTGCAGAGATCCTCAGATACCGGGTTAGGGGAAGGGAGAAAAGCAATCCCTAAGCACACTCACCATCTATGAGCAAGGGATTGCTGATGTAACGAGACACCAAGATGTTGTCTTCCACTACAATTTGGTTTGGCTGCAAAAGAACAGAGTATTTAAGAGTGAAAAAACAGCAGATATAAGGAATAAGAAGAAATTAGGTCAAATCCACCATTTTTTCCTGCCTTTCCCTCCTAAAGGAGGTTGGTACAGCCACCCTGTACCAATAACTACATCTGAGGAAGGAAGAAATTAAACCAAAATGAAAAAACATAACTGTCACAGCATACACCACAGTTAAGAGAGTCATCATCCACAGAGTATCACCATACAATATCAGAAGGCTTCAACCTATGCAGAGTAACACCACAACACATCAGAAGGCTCCAGGCATCTGCCCTTCTTGTTCTTTAGCCCAACCTTTTTTACCCCTCATGCTGATGCATTGCACCTGTGTGCCTCTGTTCCCTTTGGTGGTTGGTCAGTGCCCCTGGGCACTCCATGGCTCACTGCTGCCAATGCTGCTCACCTGCTGCTCACAGCTGTGCCCACTGGGGATGAGGCTGAGCCACAGCCCCACTCCCAATTGCCACAAACTCTGTACCTACACAGAACTGTCAGTCACAACATATTTAGATCCTAAAGAGAATGATTACATTGCCAAAAAACCTGCTAATTGATTTTTCCAGTAAAATACTCAGAGTAGCATACAGATTTAACAGCCACACAGCAATGATGTAAAACAGGCAGAGAAAAAAAAACCATCTAAGGAGTAATTGTTACTCTGTTTGCTTCCCAATGGTTTAACCAAACACATGGAGAAGAGGTTTAGAAGACCCAGGATGGAGTATGTAACTACAGATGGTGAAGAAGCCACAAGTGAGGAAAATTACTCAACTTGTGATCTTTATAACTACATCCTGGGCTGGTATCCAACCTTTTTGCCCACCTTATACTGAGTCTCAGTTCACAGCAGGAGCTCCTGTACCCAAAAGAAGCTACACTTGTAGGTAAGAACAGAAAGCTGAAACTATGACAAATACATGTCACAAAGTTATGGGATCTGTTGGAAAATCTTTTACTTTTTGCTTTATGCAAGGCTCTCTTGTAACCAGTTTCTTGCACAACACTTTCTTGCCTTCAGTTTGCAGAAGAGGCAAGAGAATCACAGGATTCTGCCTTTATTCAATTTGGTATCTATTCAGCCACAACACCAGCACAATGAGCAGAAAACCTAAGCATATAAAATGTTTATACAGAACGTGAGAGAACAAGCTCAACTTCCCTCAGAATATCACCCAAAAGCGACACAGTGTTCTATATGGATCAGGGAAATGCAAAGGTTTGTTATTTGTTTGGAGGGGTTATTGTTGTTTAAAAAAACTTTTGTGATGGGATTTTAAAATACACTCTTTTAATGGCATCACACTGAAGGAAAAAGGCCTGTGGGCCAAACTAGCTGCAGTGTTTCTCAAACAGAAATACACAAAGGGATATTGGTCCCAGAAGGGTATTTTCCCCAGGTCATGGCCAACTACCATGTGAGCCTGAGCTCATTCCTCCCTTTCAAGCAAAGAAAAAACTGAGTGTAGCTCTGGAAATACTTACCTCATACACTTGGCAAATTGCTCCCTCATTTTATGGGAAATAATCCAAGTAGAGAACAGATGAGGCAGCATGACCCCTTCAGTGCAGGGAAGGCTAAAGGGGTTTGAATGAGTGAAAACAAAATGACTCAACAGCCATTTTGCTGTTGAGCATATTTATTGGAATCCCCTCATGTGTTTGGCTCCAGTTCAGATGTATTTGTTATCTATGACAACCTAACTCTCTGCAAAGCTCACAAACAGCAAAAGGCAATACAACCTGAACATTGATTTCAAAGGACTATCCCCATTACACCTCAGGAAGGACACACTGGCTTTTAGATAACATAGCTTTAAGATTGATACACTTGCTACTCTATCAAGGTTCATTTAAACTGGTCTTTTTCATGGGCCAGTGTGAGACAAGGGGTCTGTTTGAGAACTATTCAGGTCACACAGGGAAACAACTAAAGAGAGTTCTGAAAATCTCCACAAGGTCAGCCTACTGTCAGCCACAAAGAGAGCATGAAGCAGCACAGCTTCCCAAACTGTCTCAGGGAGTACAAACTTGCTCCTAATAAGCTAAGACTTGCAGGTAGATTGCAAAATGAGCACAGCATACAAAGAGAAAGACTGCTTTTGGTTACACAGCACAGGCCCAGGCAGGCCTTCCAAGCTGCTCAGGGCTGTTGAATTGCTCACCAATATATGGCTGAAATTGAGAGTAAGGCCAGTGTCCAGTTAGATGCCTCCATGCCTCTTGCCTGGAAGCCAACATAGTTCTGAAGGCACTGTTACTGAAGAGCAGCCCTTTCTGTGAACACTTACATTATTTATCAGGTAGACACCCCGACCTCTGGAAGAAGCCACAGGCTTCACTATCCACGGGCCTCTGTCCTTAGAATAGGTATCTGGTTAAAAGAAAACAGCACAAGTCTGCAACATTTGCCATTCTGCTTATTAACAGGGGAGCAAGAATCAAGAATGCTGCCTATGGTAAACACTTTAGAGAACTCCACAGGGAGATCAAAGTCTGCTTTTCGAATATGCTATTTCACCCCTGTGGAATCATGGCAATTATTACAGCCCCTCCCTGAAGCCCCCCATGGTGCTCTGATAGATTCATTCTTCTGCCCTACGCCTCCTTTTGGCACTTCTCACTTCAGTACCCCCAGGCACTAGGCAGTGATATTGTGAAGCTGATCATCGACAACACTGTGCACCTAACTCCTCCATTTTGGAATGTTAAACCCCACATCAGCTTTTGCAAACTTACATAGGCATGGAGTAAACAGAACAGCAGAAATGACAAAGAAATCACATGGACCTTTTCTACTGTCTTCCCAGCTTCCTCTAATTTTGTTACCTTAACCACTGGCATGATCAAAAGGCTAAGATATTAAAAATAATTCTCCTCCCTCCACATCCCATTATTTTATTTTACATTGGGGCATCATCATCCATTCACTTACTGCAGAACTCCTGGTACTCTGTTGGGAGGATAAAGGTCTGAGGTAAGATATGGAATGCCTTGAACCCATGGGTGAGCTGCATTCGGCAGACATTCTTGTACAGTCTGTCCTTCCGTGTCAGTTCATACGACCTGCAGTCCCAAAACAAGAGACTGTATCTATTTATTCCCCAACATTACAGCAACCCTTTGTCCTAGTTACTGAAGTATCTGTAGCTTTGTTAGATGTCTAAGCCCTAATCTGTCAGATGTGTAAACCCTAACTGACTCTCAAGCCTTATTGCCTCTACCTTATGGCTGTATTAATATCCTTTGTGGCACTTCTTGCAATTCCCAAGACAGACTGAAGCACAACAACCTGTTATAATGGTGGTTATAAACTAACTGGTTATAACAGTGGTATATAAACTAGCAGGGGACATAGGACCATCCCTCTAACTAAAAACCGAAGCCACAAATAATTTATCATCAAATAAAAAAATAAAATTAAAAATCCAATATTTGGGCTACAAACAACATTTTAATTGATATACTATTCTCTGAAAACCCCCAAGACCATTAAGAATGAGACAGCAGTGGCACTGGCCCAATCTGTTGGGATTTTACAGTACCACACATGCTCTATTTTTTGGGGGGGTATCTATGTTCAGATTTTTGCAAATCACCACAATGATGTTCAACAAAACATGGTATCAAGGCCTTACCTAGGGAAATGGTTGACTTTCTGGACATCTGTAAGGGAACGCAGCAAGCAAGGCTTCAAGTGTGATCCTGTCCACATGAGATTATAATCATTGCTATTAGGGTGAACCTAAAAAGCAGCATAAAAAAACACCACAAACAAAAACATTGAACTAATGAAAAGCAATGCCACCTTGTCCCTAGATCTACAAGGCCAAAGCAAGTCTAGTCTAAGACAGTCTCCTCTACTATCTCCAATATAGGGGCAACTCCAGCCAAACTGGTACCCTAAGGTATTCCCAGGCTGGGAAATAACCATGTCAGATTTTTTAAAAAAAGTTGAGAGACTGTTTTTTTCATAGATGGTTTGTTTAAACACAGTTTGTAAAGCAGCTTTAATCTCTTCAGGAAACTTGTCAGATCAATTCCTTGAGTTGCTGTTATTCTGAAAAAAAAAATTAAAAAATCAACCCTACACATCTCTCAAATTGTCATTAGCTGCATACAGGACACTCTTTATAGTAAGACAGGCACTAGAAGAGAAGTTTGAAATACTACATCAATACTTCTGAAAGCTTGTAAAGGCTGAGAAATTAAATCCTTCAGATTTTCCCAAGGGTGTGATGCTTTAGAAGCATCACATGACCAAACTTCAGCATTTCTTTTCTCCTGTTTTTGAAGGCTTAAGACTAATGGGTTCTCCTTTGAGGGAGCAAAATGACCTATTTTCAGTCTGACTAGCAGAGTACATTAAAAGACAAAACAAAAAACCTCAAGGGAGGCCCCTTCCACAGCAGCTTCCTGGTTCTAACCCTGCAGAACAAAAAAAGAAACAAAAAACCACACAGAAAAAATCCAAAAACATTACCATCACCTCCCAGCCCAACACAAAATCAGACAGAAGTTTGTTGCACTCACCTCGTGGAATCCATGGGCAGTCAGAATGCTCCGAACCAGCCGGCTGTCTGTCCGCACAATCTTATAGGACATGTGGAAGCGCTCTGTGAGGAGGCAAAGAGACACAGGGTTAGAGTCTGCACCTGGGAGAATAAACCAAAGTCATTCTACCAAAGAAAAGGACTCAGACAGTACAGCTGCACTTAATTCACAGAGAGTAGCAGCACATAACAGGCAAAGGGAGATAGGAAATGCCAACATCAGCATCACTGAACTGACATCAATCCTTAGCTATAATATAGTAGCATCACAGAACCCCATCATATAAAATAAAGCACAGGACAGCCTAAAAAATACCCAGACTTTTCAAAATGTTCCATTATATAGACTGCTTTATAACACTTCAAACATTATTTCAGATTTCCTCTCTAGTCAATATTGGTATTTCTATCTAAAAGTAATTATGTCTAATGCCCCTCATTGATATGGCTTGCTTATGTGATCACTTCTTAGATCATGAAAACCCAAAATAAAGCACTGAATTTTTGTTTACATCTCATTCAGCTGTACCAATCTTCCAACAAATAACTGCAAATACAATACAGTAAGAAATTAAGTAAAAAGTACGAGGAAATAAACACTCACTATGGAAGTAGAAGGTCATAAAAACAAAGGCAATAAGCAGCCCCAAAGGTATAAGATAAACCAAAAGCAAGTAGGAAGACTAAAGGTCAGTGGTAATATAAAAGGATGTGGCAATCCAAAAAAGGAGTTCAAAGACAGCAGAGAAAGAAATTGCAACACTAGAATACAGAACTGCCTAGAAAAGGCAGTTTACAAATGTATTCAAACTGAGAATAAAAGGGTGAAGATTAAATTAAACTTACGGAAATATGTTCTATCAACAAAAGTAAATCAAAAAAGCAAGAAGTATGATAATCAGGAACAAGACAAAGCTGGAGGAAATTTAACATGTTGCACTATTCAGCAGTAAACTTGTTAAACCATGTGAGAAAAAGCAGAAGAGACACCACGCTGCAGTAAAAATGTAAGTTACAATTACCATCAGCTTCTGGCATCATCCAAGTATGTTTGTAACTCACATGAAAAGGATCAGGAGTTTCCACATGTAAAACACCTTCTCCACCCCTTACCCCAATGAGCCAGAAGCATTTTTGCTTGGATAGGATATTAGAAACGAAAGCACCAATTACCTAAGAAAGGAAAAGCAAGAGAAGAAAGAAGTGTCAGCACCTTCACAAAAGGGAGCCGAGTACATTTTAGCTTTTCTCCAACTCAGCACATCCAGAACAAGCTCCCAGCTGTACACACCCACAAGTATTAACTTTTCAAATCCAAAGTGACTGTTTATAACAACCCAGCCTCTTCAGAGGCTCTCCCTTACTTGACACTAGACAGATTTGGTCTCCCAACTCAAGTGCTGCCAGGAACCATTTGTTTATGGCCTTCTAGGGGTTGTGAGGCTGTAGACTCAGATTTGTTATTACAGCTTATTATTGTTCAACTGTGAGGTTGGCTGCTTTATTTCCCAGCGAAATGCTCTCAAAACTCACAGCAATGATTGATTTTAAGGTCTTAGCTATGGTGAATTTGCATTCTGGTTTTAAGTTCTAGCATGCCCTCCGAGTTCAATTTGCAAGCAGACAGTTCCATCTCAAAACACATCAGGACCCAGTGGAGGGACAGACACTATCACTGTCCAAAGACATTATAAGCATTCACCAACAGATTAAGCACTTCTGAATGTCTCAGTGGTCAGAGACTAGAAAGGATTCCAATTTCCCACTATGTCCTCTTCCCACCACAAAGTGAAGGGACCATCAGGTAAGAGACCTTTACCTCATGCCTTCAAGCCTTTTAAAAGCTGGCACGTAGTAGCACCCACCTCCAATTAGACGGAGGTAGCTGTCCTTGGCCAGAATGGCTTCAGCATGAAACACCAAGACAGGGACCCGCCTGCAGCCACCACCTGTCCACTTGATACATGGATGACCTCTGCAATGACAAGACAGTCAGTATAAACAACTGCTGAGCCTCATACATGCAGCAGTTAGTTACAACAATGACACAGCAATTCTCCATACTTACCCACCTAGCCTCTGGACGGGACACAAGCAAACATGCTGGGGAAAACAGTGGAAGATTGGTGAGGAGAACTGTAACCATGCCTGAGTGACTTACAGCTTGGGTGTAGAATAATACAGGTGACATACTAACTGTTGTCTTTGTGTGTTTCACAAGCAGAACCTCTGAAGTCAGATAGCACGGCACTGCAACAGACTTCAAGGTACTCTATCAAACATGTTCAAGACTCCTGCCCTACAGTGGGCAGGGTCAAAGCACAGTGGTAAAATACACCTGCAAGAATCCCTGAAAAATAAGCAGCAGCTTCAGTGATTCTCTAGCAAGGACCAAGCTCCACAGTGACTGCCTCTGCTTGCTGCTTTGGGGATCCCTCAGTGAGCCAGGTAATGAAAAGCAATTTACTCTTTGCATTTCAGATGCAGTCTTGTGGCTGTCCCTAAGCCCTGCCTGTGCTGACTCAGCACACACACATGCTAGGCATCTGTGGTGGTTCCAGGCTGCACCCTGGCTAGGTGCCAGGCACCCACCAAAGCTGCTCCATCATTCCCTTCCACAGCTAGACAGGTCAGAAAAAAATTTACCAAAAGACTCATGAGTCACAGGCAGGGAGGGATCACTCACCAATTACAGTCACAGGAAAAACAGACTCAACTTGTGGAAAGTAACTGAACTTATTACCAATCAAAATCAGAGCAGGATAATAAGAAGTAGACCAAATCTTAAAAAGCATCTTCCCCCCACCCCTCCCTCCTTCTCAAGCTTAACTTTATTCCTGAATCTCTACCTCCTTCCCCTCAGCAGTGCAGGGAAATGTGGAATGGTGTTACAGCCAGTTCATCACATGTTGTTTCTGCCACTGCTTCTTCCTCAGGGAGAACCCATTCCCTGCTCCAGTATGGGTCCCTCCCACAGCAGACAGTCCCTCACAAACTTCTCCAGTGTGAATCCTGTCCACAGGCTACAGTTCTTCATGAACTGCTCCAGCATGAGTTCCCCCACAGGGCTACAAGTCCTGTCAGCAAATCTGCTCCAGGGTAGGCTCCTCTCTCCATGGGTCTGGAGGTCCCTCCCAGGAGCCTGTTCCAGTGCAGGCTTTCCATGAGATCCCAACCTTCTTTTGAGCATGCCCCTGCTCCAGTGTGGGGCTCCGCCACGAGCTGTAGGTAGATTTCTGCACCCCCACAGATATTCATGGACTGCAGGGGCACAACCACCTCACCACGGCCTTCACCACAGACTGCAGGGAATCCCATCTCTGGCCCCTGGAGCACCTCCTTGGCCTCTGACCTTAGTGGCTGCAGAGCTCCTCCTGTCACATATTCTCAGTCCTCTTTTCTCTGGACCAGTGGCAGGTCCATATTGGAGCACAGGCACTGTCAGACACGGAGGAAGCTTCTAGCAACTTCTCACAAAACCCACCACCAGAGCCCTTCCATTACCAAAACCTGGCCACACAAAGGCAAGACAGCACCCTTGGTACTCAGCTATAAAGGGAATTTCCCAGATCACTCTTTTAGAATTGGTCTTGCCAGTCTGAGTTCTGTTTAATCTTGTTTAGTTCTGTATTTATTTTAGTGGGTACAATTTAGGAGAGGCCTCATGAGCTTTCACAGCTACAGTTCTCCAAATTTATAGCCTGAAAACAAGATCTATAATTCATCATAAACCACAATTGCTGGTATCCACACAACCAGACCTTGCAATGCAGATTCCAGCCTCCAATTTTAGAACTGCAGATAAGTGCAGTCAGCCTGGCTGTAATATTGGAGTCTGAAGTACACAAAAAAAGCAATAAGGCAGAGTTTGAGAGATTAGAACAGACCTGGCTTAACACAATGGATATAGCTGTGTATTCTTCCCTTTTAATTCCTGTCAGATACAGTGGAATGCAAGACCAGAATTCAAGAACAATGCCCCCCAGTGCACCACTTAAGCTACAGGCTCTGTGATGCAGTGATCAATTCTGTATCAAAGAACAAGAGTACACTGGAAAATATCATCTCCTCAGAGGAATTAAGGACATAGAAAAAAAAACCATCAAGACCTGTTATATCAAATCCTAGGATCACACAAAGAAAAACTGTCAATCTCCCTAGGCAAATAAAACTCAGGCTGTTTATAAACACTGCATAGGAAAATTAAAAACATTAAAAAGTTAACTTTTTTTAAAACATGAGAAAACAGAGACTGAGGGGCTGGAGAGACATGTCTACACTAACAAGAAGAAATACAAAGACTGACAGTGATATACAAAAGCATTTGTCTATAGAATATGAAAGATCATTGTCTGCCAAAGGTTTGGAGAAGCTACACAAGACAAAACACCTCCAACACTCAGAACAAAGGAACAGAGATAGAAGGGCAACTTTCCGATGCTAGGACAAGGGTTCTTAAGAATAGCCTTGGTCTTCTTAACGAAGCCACTACCATTATATCACTCAGACAAATTAACTTCACAGCACTCCTACCTGCTTCTGCTACCTCTACAATTTTTATTTTTTTTTAAATCTACAACTGGGGTGTAATTAGCTATTCAGATTGGGAAGGACCCAAGAAGCTTCCAGAATTTACACTACAGACCAGAGCCTTATGTAAGTGGAAAATGAGCTGAGACAACAAGACAGGAGTTTATACTAAGCCTGTCCTGAGGATTTGCAGCAAGGCTCAATCCTCCAGGTGACAGTCATTCATTCATAGCATGACCCCTGGTCACTTGATGCAGACACACTGTTACAGCTACATTCCAGGTGAAGCTAGTTCTGGACCTTTCCAGCCACGAGGATCTGGCAAACCCAAGCCAACCACTTGCTATGAAGCAACAATTCTCTAAATGTCTTGAGTCACTGTAGTCAGCAGCTGAGCACTCAGTCACATTGTGCATCCAAAAAAACCCTAACAGGACACAGTGAAGTAGGTCCAGGAGAAACTAAAGTGATTCTGCTATAGGAAAGAATAAGGGAGCAATTCCTTCACAAGCAAAGCTAAAAAGTTACTAAGCAAAGATGGAGCAAACATTATGACTTGTTACTAAGAAGAAATAAGAAGAAGTAAGAAATATGAAGTCTAGGAGATGAGTTATCACAAGACAGGGTATAAAGCATTGTATATCAATCTACTGTACAGCAGATTTCTAATCTCTGTAGCAGTAAAAACTAAAAAAAAAAGCAAAACAAAAACCACACAAACCTCTGCCCCCATAAAACCACACATGCCAAAAAAAAAAAAAAGGACAGATATCTTCAAAAACATTCCCCTTTTAGGAACATGACAGAAAGAAATCCATGAAAATATCGACTTCAGAGCAGTCGAAGAAAAGCTGCACATCCAACCCTGATGAATGTGGGGGTCTTTTAGGCTGCAGATGTAGATAGCCTCCCCATAGGTTTAAGGCCCAAACAGATCATCTTCTACTTCATAGGTAGGAAGGAAAGGAATGCATCTGTCTTTTCAAATTACTACAGATCCACCAGAAAGCACAGAGACATAGACACAGTTCAGAGGTTTTTCCTACTTACTCCAGCGCATCTATAGGATCTTCTTCCTCTTCTGAGGATGAGCCAGTTTCCTCCAGATCTTTAGCCATCCCAACTGGCATTTCCTTTGGGAGTTTTCATACAGCCCAGTCCTAGTTGCAAGAGCAGTTACCTGCAATAAGGATTAAAAGCAGGAATGAACAGCTGAGCAGGACAGGGAGAGCTATCAGGTACCACCTCCTGCCAGCACGGATTTCTCACAATACTATCAACCAGTCTGTTATACATCTGCGATTTGTTAAACATCACCTCCGAGCCACGCGAGTGCAGAAAGCAGCATCACCTTGCAGCAGCTCATTCCGCACCTGCCCGTGAGAACCACCCGGGCACTTACCGGTAACGCGCGTCCCCGCCCTGCCCTGCCTCGCCTCGGGCCGCAGACCCACGCCAGGCCGGCCCAGCCCAACGGGAACCGCCCGCCCAGCCCGGCCCGCCGCCCGGGGACAGCCGGACACCGTAACGCCTCCACCGGCGCAGGAGCGGCCCTCGGCCCGGAGGGGCGGCTGCGGCCCGGCCTACCCCGCGCCTGGCTAAGGACGGCGATCTCCGGCGGCCCCATAGGAAGCAAGAGCGGCGATGAGCCCCGAAGGCAGCGGGTCCCCGTGCGAGCCGTACCTGCCCCCGCACGCTGGGCCACGCCGGGCCGGGCGCACAAGGCAGCCCCGGCCCCTCCCGCCGCTTCCCCGTTACTACAACAACCGACGGGCGGCGGCCCCGCCCGGCGCGCAGCCGCCCCCGCCGCCTCACTGCGCAGGCGCGCTCGACCCCGCCCCCTGCCGGCGCTCCCACCTACTCCCTCGAGGTGGGCGGGGACGGGGCGGGCGCGCCTCCCGCGGGACGAAGGATCCGATTGGCGGGAGGCGGTGTTACGTGCCGTGGCGCGCGCATGGAGCGGCGCGCAGCGGCCAATCGGAGCGCTGGGCGGTGGCGCGGGCGGGAGGGAGGGCCGTCGGTAGCGGGCGGGGACTCGGCCCGGGCCCGGCGGGCGCGCTTGGAGCCGGCCGGGAGGATGAGCCGGTTCCTGAACGTGCTGCGCAGCTGGCTGGTGATGGTGTCGGTCATCGCCGCCGGGAACACCCTGCAGAGCTTCCGCGATCACGGCTTCCTCTCGGAGAAGCTGTACACCGCCAGCCCCGGCCTCGGTAAGGGCCGCGCCGGCCGCCCTGGCGCCTGGAGGCCGCCCTCCAGCCGGGGCCTTGGACTGTCCTCGGGGTCCCTCCTCTGGGGCCCGGGAGCTGCCCGCTGCCCCGGCGTGCGCCTCCACGGCGGGACGGGGGGTAGTAGGCAGGGCCGTGCGTGGTGTCCATGTGCTCCCTCCTTCTTTACGCAGTGAATGGGCTCCAGGCTCGGACCTTCGGCGTCTGGACCCTCCTGTCATCCGTGATCCGCTGTCTCTGCGCAATCGACATCCGTAACAGGACGTATGTAAAGCAGCACCTGAGAAATCCATTGGTTTGCTTGCTAGACACAGCCTGAGCTTAGGGAGCGGCACAGAGGAGGGGGGGAATCAAAAGCTGTTCCTGAACTTTCGATAGCGTTGACAGCATTCTCGTGAAGAAGCTCAAATAGCAGTGTGGGATTTGTGCGGTAGCTGCTGCCCCCTTCTTCCTCTGTAGGGGGACAGGCTGCGCCGTTGAGTTCTGTCCTTAGCTCAGTCAGAAACAGGCAGATCTGAGAACCTCTTCCTTCTCTTACTGTCGCCAATTTCTGAGCTCCAGCTTGGAAAGCATTTTCTGAATGCCATTGCTGCTCTGTTAATTAAGCAATTGCTAATGCTGTGGTGTGACTGATGCTCAATACTTTTACTATGACAGCTCAGCTAAAGACTGGGACAGTTTCAGGTGCCCCATTGCAGTGGTCTGAACCAGTTGCTTTCTTTCCTACACTTACCTGGGGCTGACAGCAAGGCCCGAGGGGCAGCCTGATGCTGAGTGGGAGACACACCATTTCTCCCTGTGCTAACAGAAGAGAGGGGTTTCTGAGAGGGATTTCTAAGCAAGATGACTTGAGGTCTGTGCTAGACAAAGCCTTTATTGGAGGTTACTAAAATGCTTTTGGCAGTGCTTCCCTCAGCCCTGCAGCAGAAGTCACTGTTCACCTGGGAGTACGTGCTTGGATTACCCAGGTTTATCCGAGGTAGGGAGGTGCAGGGACTAAACGATGTTTTTAGGGTGTGGTGGCAATACCAATTATCAAGAATCAGTTGTTTCTTTGAGGAATTTTATCTTGCATCTCTTGAACCTGCTCCCTTTTCACTAGCCGTGGCCCATAGAGGGTAGCAGAGCACAGGTGGGAAGACACTGGGTGATGCAGCCTGAAGTCAGCCAAGTCCTGCCACCCTAGTTCTCTGCTCATCCTGTTCGCACCTTCTTTATGTGTGTGCACATACTTCTCATTTCACTGGTGCCCTACTCGTGCTCTTCACCTTCCTTCAGGCCAGATAATGCCTGTGAATTTCAATGCACTATTGAACATGCTGCCCCATTCTCCTCTCAGCTGTTGCCCAGGGAGATTTTGCACCTCACTAGGCAAGGGACAAAGTCCTCTCTGTGCTGCCAGTGAGATCAGATATGGCAGCATGCAGGTTTGCCTTTTTCCCCACTCAGCCATATTCATGCCCATAGTATGGTACGATAACCTGCTTTTTTCTGCTCTTCAACAGCCTCTATCACATCACACTCTTTACCTTCTTCTTGGCCCTTGCTCACTTCCTTTCTGAGGTCTTCGTATACCACACTGCAGCCCTGACAATTGGAGTCATGGCACCCCTCATGGTAGCAAGTAAGTAGAGCTCTGTATCCTCCCCCTGCATACTCTCCTTGGAGCTATGACGGCCCAGAAAAACTGCCCATGCAGCTATGGGCTGAGGGGAGGGCAGGAGGGCATGCCTCATCTCTTGTCCAGCATTTTCTACACAATCCATCCTCTATCCCTGTCACAGGTTTCTCTATTTTGGGGATGTTGATTGGACTGCAGTACCTGGAGGTAGAAGCACTATCACAAAACAAGAAGAAAAACTGAAGTTGAGGGCTTTTAGTGGGTCAGTGTCATCTTCTGCCTTCACTGCCAGACTTCCACGAAAGCTCAGCTGAACTTCTCCAGGACACCAGTCCCACTGGTGGGTCAATGTTGGACTCTGTCAATCACTGTCATTACCAAGTTGTTTTTGTCTTGTCCTGGCAACATTTCAACTGACTGATGTCAAAGACCAAGTCCCAGAGGAGTTTGTGTCAAAGCTTATGGGAGGCAGTTGGTGACTGAGTCCCTGGGTAGCAGGCAAAGCCTCTGGCATGCCCAGAGCACTAAGTCAGGACTTCTCTCCTAGTGTGCCTGTGGGGACAAGGTGCAGAACTATCCAGGATGTGCTGAACACTTTGGACCAGAAAGAGAGAATGGGTGCTGGCCCAGGCATTGCTGTGTAACTTGCATGTGTGTGTTCCCCAGGGGCCATTTCTAATAAATGACAAAAAACTGCAGTGGGCTTTGTTTGTCTTTCTGTACACAGCAGTGGGTAGAAGAACAGAGCGAACAGCACCTTCCACTGTATGCTGCAGAATATATAATCTCTCTTTACAACAAACCTACCTTTCATTGAGTCCTTGCCACAGAGTTCCAGGTCTGTGTAGCAAGTTATAACTACAGAAGATGGAGAAAACAGGAAAAGGTTCCTTAGAACTAGAGAAAATAATGCCCAAAACTGTGGGCAGCATACAGAATCCAGAAAAAAAAACCAGCAGGAACTCCTGGCTGGGAAGACAATTCACATGCAGAAGAAGGAGGAAACAAAAGAAAAGAACATAGCAGTAGCACTGGGCAGAAAGATGATTCTTCTGTTCTGCAGAACATTTAATGAGCCACATATAGACTGTTTCCAATGATTTAATATGAATACATCAGGTTTCATTGCACACTTCAGATGGTTATATTTTACATTAAAATTTCCATTGAAAATCATTCTAAACCCTCATTCTCAATCCCAAACTAGCAAAGATAGGACTTCAATCATAGAATATGCTGAATTGGTAGGAATTTGTCAGGATCACAGTCCAACTCCTGGGCCTACACAGGACCCCTAAGAATCACACCATGTCCCTGAGAGTGTTGTCTAAGCACTTACTGAACTCAGGCTGTATCAAAATGTAGTGTATCAAAAAATGTTAAAATTTCACCAAAAAAAGTTTTGTCAAAAATAGTTTGTCAGAGAGGAATATTTTTAACCATTCCACCTCAGTACAGCTTTTGTCCCCTGCCTCAAATAATACATAAGTAACAGCATGATTTAAGGCATATTAGGACACTTGATGTGTCCAGCAGGGGTGGGATGCTGGAAAAGATGGAGAAGTGATAAAAGGATCTACAGTTGTGTTTAGAAGATAAACAGCATACAGATGGGCAGTGTCTATAAGACACAAATGCTGGTAAGTAGGCACCTTCTCCTCTATTATGAAGTGAGAAGCTTCCACACTGCAGCAAAGCCGGATTCCATCATACCCCTGTCTGTGGCTGCGAAGAACAACAGAGCCTTGGCTGGTTTCTTCAATATAACACTTCACAAAAGTTTGTATGTAATATTGAAACATGCAAAAAGCACCTTATTGTTAAGGATGAAGACATGGTCCTCAGCTCAGGGAAATAGTGATTTGACTCACTTTTGTTGCTAATGTAGTGATGAGCTAGATTTAGGCTGCAGAACTGGTCCTTGCCTCAAGCTAGAAGGAGGCATATTGGTAGCTCTTAATTACTCCTAATATGTAAGAACATCAGGGCAACCTCAGTGAATTCTGAGTAGAAGTTTATCCAGACTAAAGTGCTTTATCTGGGAAAGCCAAATAATAACAGAAGAGCTGGCAGCAGCTGGTGCACTGCTTTGTACTTGCTGGTAATGTACTGAGGCCTCTACTACTACCTGTGCAACACAGAGCACCATGGGAACCAGGGCAGAGCAACCCCTTTTCCCTAGAGCCAGCTCTTCCAGGACTGCTCACAGAGTTAAGTGTGATCCAGCTTCTGCCTTCCACCTCACAGCCACATGCAAGGTGCCACCATCATGCTCAAGGTTAGCCTGGTACTGTGGCTTTTCTCTCAGCACAAATGCTTTTTCCAAGCATACATGGTGGGACTGGGAAGACACAGCAGATTTTCCCAACTTGTCCTCCCAAACATCAAAACAGCATGATGCAAGGCTAAAAGTGATGAAAGCAACCCCCCTCTTGTTTTGCTCTTTCACACTTTCCCCAAGCAGTTCACAGGGCTCCTGTCCTGAGGCTGCTCCCCTCCCATGGCATGCATGTGACAGGAGGATGGTGCAGGTAGAAAAGATGGGAGTGAGGGGGGCTGTATCTCCCAGCTTTGCCACCCCTTCATTTCACAGCCGTGATTCCTCAAGGACTATGGGATTAGTGTAGGCTTCTGGCAACACTTTCTGCAAGTCAGAGAAAAACAGTATGGTTAGGATCCTGGCTGGCCAGAGCCTGGGTAGTTCATAGCTCCCTACTACTGCAGAAATCCCCAAAGAAGAATCACCATCCTCAGAGAGTGCTGCTGGTTCCCTCTTCCTTCTCTTGCCACTTTGACTGCCCAGGCAAGGGGCAGTGGGGCAGCAGGGCAGTGCAACATCCAACTGTTTAAGCTACTTGCTGTAGTCCTCAGAGCACTACTGTGGTCTGCTAATTCACTGTGCGGCTGATACCACCGGAGGGATCAGACCCACAGCCAGCTCACCAACAACATTTCACTGTGACACAAGCTCAGCTTCAAGCATGAAGCTGCAGGGCCAGTTCCCTGGGCAGTGGAAAGTGCACTCCATGCCATGAGGCAGCACAGTGTCTGTGCAAACACCAGAGAGAATTTGCTTTCTTTACATCCTCAGGAGGCTCAGCACAACCACTAGCTCCCCTGTGTTCTTACTCCAGCCTGTTAGAGGCCTCTTCAACTCCCAGACACATTGCTTTTCTTGCTCTTCTTCCAAGTCTTTTCATCCCCACCCCCACTGCCCATTGAAGTGCTGGCCCCCTCTGTCCTGCTTCTTCCCTTTCCCCAGCTTGGATTTATGGCTGAGATAATTCCACAGAGCAGTGCCTTCTTCAAAGTTCACTACTCGTATCTTAAAGAGATGTAAGAAATAAGAGGCAAACATACAAAAGATTTTTTTTCTCCATAAATCCTGTAGAAGAACTAACCTAATTTCTTGGAACCTTAAGATGGAGCGAGCTTTTCCCAGAGGAAAATCAAGGAAAAAGGAGACTGCTGCCCAATTACCACCCCATCCTCTGTTTCATGAAACGGCCAAACTGTTGTAATTCCAGTTCAGCTTTCCTGGGTGGAGTTTGACAAACTCAGCTTCTGAGTCTTTCTGGGGTGTGTTAGGATTAAACTTGAGACTTTTTTTTCCCCTAGTGGATTTTGGAAAGCATACTTCTCAAGTTCTAATTCTGCTTACAGTGAGACACAGCCCAGCTGTCACCAATTCAGAAGACAGCACACAGACTTGTAAGGGTTAATGTGGAGTCTCCTGCAGCCTGGGCTCTGAGTTTACTCACTGGCAAGACTGATATCTGAGGCAGAAATCAGAGGTGCACAGGAAAGAGGTTCACATCCCCAGTGCAGTTCAAGAGAAATCCAGGCAGCATGGAAGGAAGAGAAAGGAAACAGCCTCATTTTGAGTAGGCTCTTACACAATCTGTAGGTGAAAAGGTTTTACAGAAGTCAGCAGCAATATCCCAAAGCAGAGAGTGAGATAAGGAAAGCATCAAAGACATGTCTGAAAGCAAAAGCCAGGAAGTGCAAAGAGGGAACTTCAAGAAGCAGGAAGGGTAGGGGGGATGCATGAAGTGGTGCAAGAGGTAAGAATAAGGGGAAATCCGCACTTAGACTTCAGAAACTCCACCAGAATGCACCATGGAAGCACTCAAGCAACTCAGACCAGGTTTCCCAAGCACCTCTGGGGTTTCAGCACCAGTCATCTGCTGTGGAGCTATAGGAGCAGAGATTTAGATCAGACAGTCTGCAGGGCTTCACCACCTTTGGAAAGGAAAGCTGCTCTCACAGCTGTGAGTCACAGTACTGGAAAAGGGCATACAGATGGCCTACCTATGGCTTTGGGACAGGAGAAGGCTGCTTGCCACACAGAAATGGAGTAGGGAAGTAGAGAATGGGTACACATTATTTGTGCCTACTACACAAAACTCCAGCATTTTTTTATCGGCAGTATTTCACTAGAAGCTAAGCATGGTACAGCTTCCAACAGAATCCAGTAAGCTACTGAGGGTGGACACTTGTCCTAAACAAACCATGGAAGATCAGCAAAGATACGTTTTCTTAATGCAAAGGAACAGTACAAAAAGGTTTGCATGGATGCTGCAAATCACAAGCAAATGAGCACAAGCAGTACACAGCATATTCATGAGTATAATGTGCATGCTCAATCAACTGACACTACTATGAAATCTTAAGGCACAACTCTGGAATGGCTTCAGATGCATTTACAACAAAGGCAGCACACAAACAGCCTCATTGTCATGTGAAACAGGCATTTGATCCAAGTATCCAGAGATACAGAAAGCTAACCCAGCTGGAGCTCTGGGAACTGAGGCAGAGACAAAAGTGGGGAGGATTGTTGGGACCACATTACAGCTTAATTAATAGAGGACAAGGTGTACACAAGGCCATTAGGTTCATTTAATCTACTAACTGCAACACTTGTTTAATTATAACCACAGCAGATGAGGGCACCAATAGAGGAAAAACTGCTACACAGCCAATGGTACATGCTTCAATGGAAAGTGAGATCTGCACAGCTCCACAGCTCTGCACGCTCTGGAGGCTCACAACTGACTCCGAGTCTTCTCCTTGCAACAGCCACAGAATTGTTTAAGCTGAAGAAGACTCTTAAGATCACCAAGTCCAACCATTTGCCCAGCACTGCCAAGTCCACCACTAAACCATGTCCCTAAAAACTGCATCTACGTGTCTTATAAATACCTTCAGGGATGGTGACTCTAACATTTCCCTAAGCAGCCTGTTCCAATGCTTGACAACATTTTCAGTGAAGAAATTTTCTCAATACTCAATGTAAATCTCCCATGGTGTAACTTGAGGTTGTTTCCTCTTGTCCTGTCGCTGGTTACTTGAGAGAGGAGACTGATCCCCAGCTCACTATGACCTCCCTTCAGGTTGTTGGAGAGAGTAAAAAAGGTCTCCCTTGAGCCTCCTTTTCTCCAGGCTAAACAATCCCAGCTCCTTCAGGTGGTCCTCACAGGACTTGTGCTCCAGATCCTTCACCAGCTCCACTGCCCTTCTCTGGATATGCCCCAGCACCTCAATGTCCTTCTTGTAGTGAGGGGCCCAAAACTGGACACAGGACTTGAGGTGCAGCCTCACCAAGTACAGGTGGACAAACCCTTCCCTAGTCCTGCTGGCCACACTATTTCTGACATAAGCCAGGGTGCCAGGGTGCCACTGGCCCTCTTGGCTACCTGGGCACACACTGGCTCGTGTTCAGTGGCTGCTGACAAGCACCCCCAGATCTTTTTCCAATGGGCAATTTTTCAGCTGCTCTTCTCCAAGCCTGTAGCACTGCTTGAGGCTGTTGGGACCCAGCTGCAGGATCCAGCACTCACCTTGTTGAACCTCATAAATTATCTCAAGCCATGGATCCAGCCTATTCAGGTCCCTCTGCAGAGTCTTCCAACCCTCCAGCAATACTCCTGCCCAACTTGGTGTTTGGTCTGCAAACTGACTGAGGGTGGACTTGATCCCCTCATACAGGTCATCAAGAAAGGCATTAAACAGGACTGTCCCCAATACTGAGCCTTGGGGCACAGCACTGGTGACCTGATGCCAGCTGGATATAACTCCATTTACCAACACTCTCCCTGCCCATGGGACCCTTCCTCACACTTCCATCAAAGTATAGCAGCTTCATGGTCCCTGCAGAACATGCCCTAATCTTAGCAGGGTTAAGGCTGATTTTCCCAATTGACTCATTCTGCTTTGCCTGTTAGTCCTGTTGGCTGTGGCACTGTATGATACACACAGTCTATCACACCTTGAAAAGCAAAGGGTAGCATGGATAACTTAGTGGACCAGCCTGTGGCACAGAGGACAGTGAGTAGTAAAGCATACCACCCCAAAACCAATTCTTTAAAGGGTTCCTGGTATCACCTCCAGCCAAGAATCTGGACTGTAAAAATGACAGAGAAGTGACTCCAAATGTCTGCACCTCCTCTCCCTAACAAATGACTGACAGCTCAGTTCTTAATCTGCTCCAGCACCAGGCTTTGCTTTGCTGCACCTAGCTGAATCCCTACATCTCTGTCTGACATGAGTCTAGGGGGATCTCCACTCTGTTCTTGGAGGCTGTCTTGTCTTTCCTCTCAGCTGAGTACCTGAGAAGACCAGAAGGATTCTTGATACTCTACAGCCATTGCAGTCACCCCAGAAATGCCATTGGCTTCATGCCTGTGACACCCTGGGAGTATTCAGAGAAGTAGATTGGTGCAATTCTCCTACCTTGGTGTGTATAAGCTAGTGAGCAGGAGTGGCAATTGATGGGGTTAGATTTACAAGCTACAGTCCCATAATCCATGATCTGATTGCTGCCTTGGAGTCTCTGTAATGACAGTCACAAGTCAGAAAATATGGAGGCAAGTAGGAAAAGAAATTAAAGCAGAGCAAAATAAGGAAGGGAAGCAGACAATGGAAGAAACCAGTCAAATCACCCAAGCATGTGTAAGGCAGCTGTGCCACACAGAAAAGCCCCAGTACCTGACTTTGCCAGAGCTCTCCACAAAGGCAGCACACAGCGCCCAAGCCCAGCTGGCTGATCCCCTGGCCGAGGCTTCCATCTTAATGCAGAATACCAGATTCAGCCTACCATCAGTCAGTTGAGCACCTGCAGTTGGTTGTTAAGTTTGAGAATACTCAGGTGAGCTCAGCCATGTGGAGGACACATTTGGGGGTGTTGGTGGGGTGTGCAACATGACTTCTGAGCACGTCTCCTCAGGGGGAAGGAGCTGCCAGTGAAATTTTTGACTGACTGAGACCTGTTATCTCACACACATCCCTCAGGTTCTTACTACTGTCAGTTCTGGAGACTTTGAGGATTACAAAATTGATGTTGCACCACCTTTGCTCTGGTTTCAACGCTCTTCCCCAGGCAGCAGCAAGCTCTTGCAACAGTACTCAGACTGAAAACAATTTATACTAAAAAGGGCTTAGGCAAAAATGTACAGTTCATCTGATGAGAGAAATGTCTGACAAAAGCTAAGGATCTACTACTAGAAGGCATCACCTTCACTGCCAAACGACCTCAGGCCCTTTCCTGGGCCTTCCACATCCATGTTATGAATTCAGCTCACAGTGCCACCAGCATTGGAGAAGGGCAGCACTGTCTTCTGAGTAGAGCTGACTCAAGGCAGCAGAGAACTGAGATTTCCACACTTTGCTAGTCATGGTTGCTGATGGTCACCTGAACATTGAATGATATCTCACCTAACATCCTAGAAGAGGAGCCCAGAGTAATACAGAAAATAGCCTCAAGGAACCAGTCCCCTCCCTTTCCCTGCATCTTCTGACAGTATCCACTGCAATTAGTTCACCCACGTGCAAACAACTGCATTTATTGCACAGTACATTACACCCCAAGCTCTGGTGTGCAAGTATGAACTAGCAGCCTTGTCAGCAGCACTATGCCAAGTGTGAGCAGCCAGGTTGCTCAAGCCCTCACTTAGGCTTTGGCACCTTAGCTTCTTCCAGTCACATACACTGAACCCCACTTGGCAGCTAAGGGCAAGGAGTAAGAGGAATAACCTAACAGCCTAGGGGCCTAGAATAATAGTTACTCAGCCCTACAAAAGAGCAAAGCACTGAAGGCCTCAACACATTGTCAAGGGAGAGAAACAATCACAGCACTGCCCTACATCTGGCCCTAGCTGGTATGAAGATGTGTGAAACCCTGCAGAACCCCAGAGCCTACAGATTCTGCATGACATTAACACTGAGCAAATAGAGGCCCCAGCAGCTGGCAGAGCTGGGATTACATCCAGTTTGAAAATGCCAACAAAGAGCTTCCCCACAAGCCACCCCTTTTCCTAGAAAGGGGAAAGGTTGGGTGCTGTCCTGAGCTAATAGCAGGGGCACAGCAGGAATTGAAGGGAGGTTTACTCACTGTCTGTTCATTTTCCAAATTGGCCTGCTGTCTTCGGAGATCAGCCTTAATGAATGCTGGAACAGAGGGAGGAAGAGAGATGTGAAGGCAGTCAAGTCACCATGCAGGGCCCAAGTCAATTTCCCCAGGCCTCAAAGGAGCAGCAGAAGCCCCAGAAGAGACAGAAACATATTACAATGAGCAAGAGAAATCACTCTCCTGGACAAGGCTGAGAACACATCTGAAACAGGCAGGATAGAGATTCTTTATTGCAGCTTTAGAAGATGCAACTTTGAGACCCCAGCCAGAGCCAGGGAAAAAAGCCTTGGCTCTTCTTTGTAAGCAGAGCAGATGCTTAAAGAGGAACAGCACTGCTATGGGACTGCTGTGTGGGTTCTGCCCTTTCCTGCAGGCACTGTGAAGCACAGACAGATGACTCTTCAATGAATTAAGTTGAAAAGAGGGTACATTATTACAGCACTGGACACGTGCAGAATCGTTTCCAAAGGCGTGTGCAAAAAAGTCACAAGTTCCTGCTCTCTATTTATCCAAAAAGGTTTTACAAAGTCAAATAATTTCCAGGACAGTTTCTACAATGCTTATTACATAAATATTAGCTCTTGCCTGGTATTATAATTAGCTGAACATCCATTACAGCTGCGCAATTGTCCTCTTTAATTGGGTCAGTGGCCCTCTGGGGAGCAAGTAAGATGTCTTCCTCATGGTAAACTCTTAATCTGTGTCTAGTTGGCAGGGCTCCTTAACTTGCTGGTCACAGTCCAAACCTCCTCTCATTCTTAGAATCCAGTGGTATTTATGGTTCCTGCACTCTTACAATACTTCATTTATCACCTGTCATTGCCAACCTTGTTTCAGTTATCCCCACCCAGTATCAATTAGTTTCCTTGTTAAGCTCTAATCACAGCATATGATCTTTGCTAATTACATTTCTAACTTAACCCCTTGACTCAGCTGCACACAAAAGCCTCCAACAAATGGGCCAAGTCCAAGGCAAAGTCAGAGCAGAAGACTTAAAATTTTAATTACCTGTCATAATGGTCCCCAGGAACAGGACAGAACAAAGCAAGAGGTTTCCTGCCTTTGTCCCAAAGCGATCCATGATTTGCCCTTGGCTAATGGTGAAGGCAATACCAAAAATCTACAAACAAACAAAGGTAATGTCAAGCTATACTGCTATTATAAAGCAGCCCAAACTCTTTCCAATCTTTACCAAAGTATCAGAGCATACAGGCCAGTCAAACAGTTGGCCTAATCAGGCTAAAGGTTGATTATAAACACATCCAGGGGCATCTCCTTGCAGCTAATGGAATGACAGATGACCCTGATGGGTGGAATCTCATCTCTCACTGGAGACAAACCGGAACTCTTAAGAGCTATGTTGGAAAAGGCAAGGATGACTGGCACCCTGAAGTATTTTCTTAAACAGAATGAGTGCCACTACAGAAATGCCATGAGGAACATCACTCAAAAAACCAGGTCCCAGGCTGCTTAGATCTGCAGTACATTACACCATAATGGACAAGAAATAGGACTCGAGGCTTGGAACTACAATTTAATCTCTCTGCCTAAAAGGGGGCAAGCAGAGGGAAAACAGCACACCTACCTGTGCTGAGACATTAAGGAGCCCTGATGATGTTCCTTCTGATTCTGGGTATGTCAACTCTGCAGCAAACTCAAAGCCCAGGGGAAGGTATCCTGTCATGAAAAACCTGTAATGAAGGACACAGAAAGGAAGACTCAGCAACTGCCAAAGGAAGACTGAAGAGGTACAGTATAGACCGTAACTCTAAGCAGCATCACCCCCAGCACAAACAGCCATGCCAGCCCACATGCTTTTCACTCTTGTCCACTGTCATCTATGGGGCTGTGGGTACCACTTGCTTCCCAAAAGCTTCCACTTACCTGGAACAATTAAGCTGAGCAGGGTCACGATAATGTCCCTCACTCAAATGAGACACATACAAGTGAGAGATGGGAAGGGCAAATAGGAGCCATTCAGATGCCATGGCTCTTCCCAGTCCCTCCCACAACAGAAGTTCTGCCTCCCTGCTTATCCCCTCCCATCACATGCTGAGGAAAGCAGCCTGCACATGGACTTACCCCAGCAACCCAGCAGTCACAAAGACCACCCAGAGGTGGCCCAGGCTCAGAGTGAAGGTATAGACTATCATTCCCACCAGAGACATGATATAGACAACTAGCGTTGTTTGCCTGCAAGAAAAAGCAAACAGGGTTTTATTTAATCCAGTCCTCCTTTTTGCGCACAGATCTTAGTATAGCTTGTAGCACATGGGTAAAAAAAAAAGCATTTAAAAGTTGCACAGTCTTTTGGCACTCATACCCAGACAGAGGAAATGGACTGACAGACAGCATGGAAAGGCCTGCACACAGAGCAGCACAGCAGAAGAGGAAAGATCCTACCACAGGTTGACAGGTGCCTGGTCATATATGGTACATGGCACTTGAGGGAGAGAGCAAGAGCCAATTAATCTTTCTTGGGCATCCTCTATACTATAGTGAGTTGAATATACTTACTTATAAGCAGGAGCCAAGGAGATCAAGCACTCTCAAACAGGAAAGTAAAGAGGTGTCAAATAAAGAGGTGTCAACACTGCTAGAGTCTTACGGGCCTATATTTTTCAGTGCTGTCTGAAACAGCTTTCGTTGCTGCTCCTTTCTGTTGTTTAAACCACCTGCTGTATTTGGAGAGGTGACATGCAAGCCAGGTAGCCCTCACAGCCTCACCCTCAAGCCACGTGAGCATTCAGCATTCAGCCAACAGCAGCTGGGGCACAAGCTCTTGTCTGGGTGCAGAGGAGACCAAGACACCCTGTGCTCAGGAGGTATGCCAGTCACACCCTGGGAACAGCCAAACCTGCAGCCAGGCCGTGCAAGGATCATCAGTGAGCTCAGCACTGTGAGACACAGGCATCAGCCCAGGCCAGCTTTCACCACAACATTTAGCAATTGTCATCCTTGACTACATACCAAGAAAACCCTTCCCACATTAAAGAAAAAAGGCTCTTTTTAGTACAAGAGGCAGCAGTAAGTCTTCCCAGTACATAGTTTTGATGAGGAAAAGGAGGGAAAGGAGGAAAAGGTAAATACTTTACCTGACTGAAATTCCACCACGATTTTGAAAGCAAAACAGTTACCGGAGTCGATAAAACCTTTTGATCACAATCTTTTAGGAAGAAGTTACATGTATTACCACAAGCTACTTGTGTACTTTCTCCCAAACTTAAGTCTTAATCCATTAAAGAATGTGTTTGATATCAGTTCCTAGAATTCCACTGAAGAAACTAAATCTCAAACTATTTTCACTTTTCTTTTTTAATGTAAATGATCACTGTCAAAAATCTAACCCAAGTAGGCAGTAAGTATTACACTGTGTAAGAAAATGTTTCCAGTACACTGAATTACTACAGATAAATCCAGACTGTTCCAGCTAAGGTTCTCTCCTCCTTCACTGCTGCAATGACTGCAGTCAGTGGGGCACATTCTCACCCAAACATAGGCCTGAAAAGCTAATTTCAGCCTTCAGCTCTTGATCCATACTTACAAGGTTCACTAAGCTCATTTAATATATTGAAAGACTAAACAACATACTGTGGCGAGCATGTTGTGTATTTTGTTTTATAAATTTGTTGTGTATCAAAGGAGTAGTTAAATCTCTTTAACCTCCAATGCTGTATCATTTCTAGAGTATGTTCTTTCCAAAGTGTTCACTGAAGGAAAAAATTCAGCTGTGAAGGCAGCATAAAGGGACTGCTTACTTCTGTTATAATCCATTGCAGAGAGCTGCTACATGGTTGGCACAGTGCCTGGAGGCTGCAGAAGGAGAAGAGCTGAAAGACCGACTGAACAAACAGCAGCCCCAGAGAGTGAAAGAGATGCAAGCAAAAGCTTTTTTCTGCTCAATACAGGTTCCTCAGGTATGTCCCATGAGTTCTTATGCCTCTCATGCCCTGACAAGCAGCCATGAAGAAAAGAGATGATTAGGAAAGGAGCTCAAAGCTAGAATTACTGTTCTGTACTTGGGCTACATGAACCAAGTTTGAACTGGGTGCTCCTTCCACAAGCAAGAGTCTCCAAACTACATAGCAATTAGTGCTAAAATACTGTGCAGGCCTCCAAGAGGTGGCTGCAGCATTTGGTTGAAGTTTAGTCACTGCCAGCAGGGACACTCAGCCCATGGAGTTTTATAATTTTTTTTCTCACCACAGCCAGTTTGGGCACAGTGCAGACGTCTCAGGACAGTCACACAAAATCTCACTCAGTTTTCTAGGTTTATGGTTTAAGTATTCCAAGGGATTTGTATCTTATTCAGTGTCATGACAGTTTCCAAGTGTTGCACTTCACCCTTCATCTCCAAGCAAAGGTGAAGAATGAGAAAGTGACCAGATGTGGTCAAGACTTTGCTTCACACTGATGCTATGTCATTAGTCAAGCTGCAAGAGAGGAGTTCAGTTCCCAGAACGTGCTGTGCCCCACAGAGAGCTAGAGCAGGCAGACTCATAGCTGCAGGCAAACTCTTGAAGGTGTACTTCACTGAAACTGCAGAACTGTGTGGAGGACAAAAAGGAGAAAACTGATCCTGCGGAGGGTACCTCATCTATCAAGTTTTCCTCACTGACCTCCCTGAATCTTTAGGCTGCAGAAGGACAAAATTAATCAACAGACCTTTGTAAAAGAACAAGACCACAGGCTTGAGTGTTGTGGGAAATACAGACCAGGAAGCACCCTGAAGCCATGAACAGCTGCCTGCTCACCACACACCCTCACAGGATCTGAACAAAGAGCAGTGAATGCAAATCCTGCTGCAGGAAACAGCCTTAAGCACACAAGCAGACTTCTCCTAAACCTGAAAGGCTTAAGACTTAGACTTCAGCAAAACCCTCCTCCCCCGAGCATACCACTGATGACAAGAAAAGGAGATTTAAAGCTCAGCAGTCCAAGAAAGACACAAAATTTTGAATAGGGTTTAACTGAGATACTGGAAGACACTGGTGCACAGGGAAACAAAATCCCCTGGGGAAAGACACAGAGGCAGAGCGTTCTCAGAAAGTGGCCTTTGACACCCTGTTCACTAGAGAACAAGAATACTCTGTGGCCCTAGGGGCACTGGAGCATGGAAAAATGCCCAGGTTTAGCTTAATAAGCCTCTTATCATAGCCATAAATCTCATGGGAATGAGAAAAGCATAAAGAAGGAGAAGCAGATTCACAGAGCACATCAGCACTGCATTCTGGTGTTTTTAGCCACCTACTGCCATGATGGCTCTACAGGGACTGACAATTTTCATTGCCTGGAACAGGGAACAGAGACTGTCTACTTAACAGGCTGATTAGTGCAGTGAGTACAGGCTGGAAGTTAGGCATCCTGCCACATTACCTTAGAGAAACTGAGATTAACCCAACCCTGTGCTCTGGCAAGGAAGCATTGCTACAAAGGCACCAGTGCCAAGTCTCCGTGGCAGAGCCAGAGGGAGATCTGTGAAGGACCTGACACACTTGTCACTTAGATGAACCTAACCAGCCCTGACATTCATCTGCCTTCTCAGTCACATTCCCAAACCTTCTGAAGAGGCAGATTAAAGAGCCTGCACAAGGGACTGTGAGAAAAAAGAGACCTTGGGGGAAAAAAGCCAGGCAGGGCCAGCACCAGCAGGGAACAGGGTTGAAATGAAGAACACATCTCCTGCTGTTCAGTCAGCTCCAGAAGAAGCCTCAGAGTAAGGAATGGGTATGGCCCAGCCCAGCCTTGTCTCACAAGGTCACTTGGACAAAGAAAGCAAGTGACACGAAGGGATTGCAGCTGCAAAAACAATAAAGTCAAGCAACATCTGAGGCAACAAATGAACAAGCTGGGAGCAGGAGGTGGGATGAGAGGCACAGGCACATACAACAGTTTTAGCTGCTCACAGGGATGTTGTGTGCAGCTCCAGCATGCTCTCCTGTATGGACAGGGATGACAGATGGCCTCCACAGGCTTTGCCATGAGGACAGCACATTCCAGGCTGCACACAAGCCCAAACAAAGCCCTTGATCCTATGCTCCCAGGAGATCTCATTGCTGAAGAGACAGAGGTGACAGATGCTGGAGAAAGGGATGAATTGGAGAAGACTGCTTTGGTTTTCACCACACCCTTATCCTTTGGCATTCAGTTTTATGCCACTTTCTTCCTGTATGAAGGTCAGAAGAAAGGATAGTCTTGGTAAATTATTTATATAAGACATATGGTAGGACAGAGTGAAGACATATTCACTACACAAGGACTAACCTTGTGTAAAACAGGCTATGATAAGAAGGCCCAAATTGCTGGTCAGGCTAAGCTGAGAGAGCACTCATCTTCTCACTTGGAAGAAAGCCAAGTGCCCCATCCTCCACCATCTTTTCTCCCTCCCCCAAATTTTTGTACTTTGCATCTGTACAGACCTAAAATACCTCTTGGGGTCTTCTGCCTAATCAATGGAGAGAGAGATGGGTATTTCTGACATCTTGCCTTATAGTGGTGCAGCAATGAAAGCAGAGAGTGCTGACTGCAACCAGCTTGATCTGAGGCCATGTGAACACTGCACTTTAAAAAAAAGCATAACCAAAGAGAAGTGCTGATTAATTCAGTTCCCAAACACCTCATTCTGAGCCAGACTACTCTACCAACACCAATGCACCCAGCAGTCTCCAGGTGTCACAACCTCATCTGTCCTCTGAGCCAGGAACTTGATGTCAAAACTATAAGGGTCTTCTCCTGATTCTATGATTCAAAGAGATGGACTGCTCTCAACAAGCCATACCACCAAAGGCAACCCCAATTCTTGCACTGCTCGCTCATCACTACATAACCCATGTGTTTATTTTAATGGACCAAATTTGCACCTGCTATTCCAAAAACAAGAACAGTGCAGGGATTTGCCTGCCAAATAAAAGCAAGAGTGCAAGGCTTATTGGTGCCCGAGCATGACAGATGAGGAAAGCCTGACTTAGCACAGCCTCACCCTTTCAAGGAACTGCTGATGGTACAGTAAAGATCAAACATGCATGTAGAGCTCTGCAATTCCTTCTGTTATTAACCTTCCACTGCTCCCCTCAATCACAGCTGGATCCCATTCATTTGCTTCCCTCTCTCTCCAAGCTGACTAAAAAAAGGACTTAATATCTTTCCTTCCTGATTTTCATGTGCTTACCATTTTATTCTTGACACTATCTCAGCAACAGAGGGAAGGGGGAGGGTACCCACCTAGAACATCTGGCATCTTGACAGTTTTTTTTTAAATAGACTTTTAAATGGGGCTAAATAAAGACTATGTAGCACTCAGGAAAAAAAAATGTGCTAGTTTCACAGAAATCCATTTTGTAGGCTGTAATGGAGAACAAATTCTTAGCAGGGTTTTTCCTCACCTAAGGCTAAAACTATCTCCCAATAGGCCCTGGGGTCTGTAGAATAAACTCCACGGGTGACATTGTCCTATTCTTCTGCACTGTTAGCCAGCTCTGCCTACCTATGTAATCTCTCCAAGAAGGAGTGGACACAGAACAAATACAGGATTTGTGGATTTTTGTCTCTCTCCCATTCTCCCAAATTTCAAGTCCCAGCTCCGCATGGTGAGTCACAAAGCTCTTTGAGCCTTCATGCTGCAACCTAACCTCACTTACAGAGAACCAGGAAGATCATCCAGTCTAGCAGTGCCAGCTGAGGCTACCTTAACACTAGCCCTGGGCTGGAAAGAGACAAGTGACATTGCATGGTTAGCAGTGCAGTTCTAACAGTTGTATTTCTATTTCCCAGGACTCCCACATGAGTACTACTCAGTGCCACAGCCATCTAGACACAGCAACAAACAACCTGCCAATCCCAGAAGTCCTCACCTCCTCTTATTTCTTATTAGAGAAGCCAGTTTTCTATTTCTGATCCCTGCACTGCACAGGGAGCTAGGGCCAGAGGCCACTTCAGAAGTTGCAAGCTCACAGCCAGCCAGATTAATCTAAGCTGTCTACCATGAGAATGTGCATTTCTGGCCCAAGATATGAGGTAGGATAATGACAGTAGGACTCCCCCAGATGAAAAGCTGCTGCAAGGAATAAAACTCTGAAATTGCTTTCAAGTCATTATCAGCACATCACCAGTAAAGCCTCCTCTCACCCAACCTGCTCAGACAACAGGTTGTAGCACAGTTCTCAAAGCCAGCACAGAAATCAAAAAGCTAGGTGGACCCCAGTATAATAGACAAGAGTCTCTCTGTATCACCTGGGATATTCTACAGAGGTGTTTCTGAGGACCAGGAACTGTAGGACAAGCAAAGACTCTTAACTGTCCCTTTGCAGATGGCAAAGCATGCTGGCCAGATCTGCCTTCCCAACTCATAGGGCAACAAACACAGACTCGTCCACCCGTAACCCCAATAACCTTATGCCTGCCCTAAATACAGCAGCACGCCACCAACACAATGCCTCTGGGCACTGGACTCAATGTGCCTTTCATTAACTGGACAAAAATTCACAGAGGCTGGTTTGTAAGGGCTGACAAATGGTCTGGTACAGTCTTGATTCTGCTTGTGCCAAGAACTCTCTCATCCCTGGCAAAGCAGTTATTGGGCCATCTCATCTTCTCTGTGAGCCTCCCTAGGGACCGCCAACACCACATCTCGTATGGGCCCAGTGCTGGCTAATGCACAGCTCCAAACTTCACCTTACACTAACTGGGTTTGGAAGAACCCTATTTTTTCCCTTCAAATCCTCCCAATGATTCAATCTCTACAGTGGCAACTTGCAACTGCTCAGGGTTCCTCCTTGCACAGTATGGAAGAAGAGCACAGTCACCAGGGCACAGGGGCAAACAAGGGACTTACTTGTAGGTTTTGGTTTTGTCCAACCAGATGCCAGAGATCAGAGCCCCAGCCATCCCCGACAGTATAATGGTGAGTCCAATCCTGCCAGCATTCACCTCCTCCCCCTGTGGTGAGACACATACACACTCACACAAGTGCAGGAGCTAACTCATAGCCAACAAAAAGCAAAGTGCACAAAACCCAGAGAGGAAGAGACAACAAAGTTAGTCTTCTCACATGCTTTCTGCTGGTAACACACTAACCAGAACTAGCCTTTGCAGGAACACTTTTGGGCCCACTATGAGCCAGTGCTTTCTGGTCCATGAAAAAAAAAGTGGTGTGGCAATTATGTCTGAGCCAACTATGAGAAAAATGTGTGTACTGGCCAGCATGAGCAGATAGTCTCAAAGGAGTTAGCATAAACTCTATGAAGCTTGCTGTTAGGATTTGGACCAGATTGACTACGAAATACTGGGACTCACTATGAGGCAGAACAGAAAGGAGCTCTGTGGCATGCAGCACCAGCAGTGAGCTGTACAATAGCTCAGGTACAGAAGCACCCCATCCTTTTGCCACCAGAGCATGAGCATGGGCAACCTCCCGGAACAGATGTCCCAGCAGAAATCACAGTTAGAAACAAGTAGAGGAAATTACTGGAAGATTTTCTCACAACTAAATGCTTTCAATTAAGGTGCAAAGGAGCCGTCTTTTCTAGAGCTCATCAGCTTTTGCATGGGGTGGTGCAAAGGCAAAAAGGAACAGCCAACTTGTGCTGGATCCAACTTGTGTTGGACAGCAGCAAGCATCAGAGAGGGCCATGAGGGTTGGATGCACTTACTGGGTAGTGATGGATCACCATGCGGTTCAGCAGAGTGGACAAGGCGTAGAAACAACCTACATTCAGACCTGAGAAGGGGATAAAAATGCAGCACATTCAGAGCCTGCTCCTCTCCTGCTGGGCTGTGAAATGGTAGAAATGCAGAGAGAGAAATCTTTGGGACCATCAATCCAGAACAAGGCTGCAGTGTCTCAAGAGAGTGAGCCAGACTGGCAGACATAGGATACTGAAAGAAATGCAGACCAACATCCAGGCCTCAGCATGCAGAAGGAAGAACCCTGCAGTTTCAGGATGGTTCCTATCTAAGCAGCTAGAGGAAGGGCTGTGCACATTTCTGGTACTGAAAGGTCTTGCAACTTCTTCACAAAGTTTCAACCCTCTGAGCAACCCTGTGAGCAGCCAGATTCATCTTTTAGCACTGCAATTTTCTCCTCTGCTCCCAGCCAAGTAAAAAAACTAGAAAAGCATCTGCCTCAGCACCATACCTTGAACAAGGACCTGAGATTCAATTAACAAGTGTCATTGACCTGTGTATTTTCCTCCCAGAGAAGAGCCTGTCAGCATTCTCCCTGCTGACAGCCAGTAAATAACATTCTCTCCAAGGCAAGAAATGCCAGAAGACAAGTGGGAGCAAAGCTGATTGGTGAAGCACAGACAGCACTACCCTCAGGCACCTGGGCTGTGTGTCTGCATGGAAAAAGTCTTGCATTTTAAAAGCTATCACTGAGGCCTGAAAAAAACCCTGTGAAAGTAACTGTGTTTCTGAAAGAGAACTTGCATTAACTGCTACAAGGATCAACCACCTGGCGAAGGTTTCTCAGTATCACGCAAGGTGAGAATGAAACTGTTGGGGTGATCCTGGTCAAGCCCTATTCAGACACTCAGCTGCATCTTACATGTAATTCTCGTTGGTTAAATGCCTTCCCCAAAGGGCAGAAGACCCAACAGCTTTGTTCAGCAGGTAGCAACATACACATGTGCACTGGACCAGCAGTACTGCAACGGCTCCACTCTCACCTTGGGTGATACTGAGAAACCTTCCCCAGGTTGATGAGGTCTGTAACAGTCAGTATCTAACTTTCTTCTCAGAAAGTCATTTACATTTGCAGTTGGTTTCTCTTCAAGGCTTCAGTGATTCTGATGGGTGGAGGGAAGGGGACAGATTTTACCACTGTAGCTCACACATCTATAGGCTCCAAAAGGAGACATGGTTTTAAAGTCTGGCACAGATGCCTGAAATCCTGACAAAACAGATACATGTCAAGTTCCCCCTTCCTACTTTTCCTCTCTAAGCCTCAGCTAAAAGCAGAAACTAACAACACAGGATACAGAAGTGCAGTCTAGCAGGCGAGAGCTCTGACAGAGTGAACAAAGCTCTGAGCTCTGCTAACCCTGAAGTCCCCTATCTCCCCTTAAGTACTCAGCAATCCTGCGCCTAGCCCAGTCTTCCACTGAGCCCTGGATGTCTGTTGCAGTACACAGCACTATGAGCAGCCACAAGATTGGCAGCTGGAGGGTGCATCACACTACCTTCACACACCATCTCTGACAACATTACAATTTACTGTGAGGGTGGTGAGGCACTGGAACAGGCTGCCCAAAGACATAGATGGAAATGTTGAAGGCCAGGCTAGACTGGACTCTGAGTGATCAGGTCTAGAGGAAGGTGTCCTGGCACATGGCATGGGGGTTAGAACTAGATGATCTTTAAGAGCCCTTCTAATGATTCTAAACCATTCCATGATTAAGTAAAGCTCACTCCACAGCTGTATGGCACAGACAACAGACAAAGACTCTTATGCAAGTGATCCCAAATATTGCCTGTGACAATGTTTCCCACTTCAGAATCCTCAGTCAGAAGATTACAGGAGAGGCTAGTAAATTGAATGACATGCTCCTTAGGCAGGAGAATCAACCCAATCCTTACTAAGAGTTACTCAGAAGACTGGAAACTTGGGCAGGGCCAGCAGCCAAGGATGAGGGAGAACAAACTGGAGATCTCTCAGCAAGGAGGCGCCCTCCAGCCTTAAAAGCTGTCTCTTTGCAACACTTAGCTATGGCAAACAGCTAACACACCCTAAATCAGCTTCATCCTACCTCCACCTCTGGAGCACCCCGCCCACTAGGGGACACCACAAGCTGCAGTGCAAGGACACGGGAGTATGGCAGATCAGCACAGCCCTTCTGTTTCTTCACTTCAAAGCTGGGCATAAACATTAACCACTCATTTGTGCACCTCTATTTCTCACCCAGGCAAGAGGACAGCAGCCTTGTGAAGACAGCCAGATGCTGCTCTGGTAGCTAACATGTCAGTAAACCAGCTTTACAGCAGCTCTGTGATCCTTGTGATTTCCAAGACAGGGAAGAGCCTCTGCTCCCAAGCTGGGCAAAAAGTAAGAGCTGGCAGCAACACTTGGCACCAGAGTCAGGTAAAACATTCTAAGAATCAAGACAATGTGTCAAATTTGCATATGCAAGGGCTGAGAAAAGTTGTAGGCACTTCATGTGCCACAGCTGCTCAGTGAATCTCCTCTGAGAATTACAGCTGTTTGAATGACCATAAAACAGGTAATAGTTGCTTCCAATGGGAAAGTGGCCATTTGCCATCCAAAAGTGGCCATCTGAAGGTCCAGCACTACCTGATTCTTTAGCTAGTCATCATGGTTTGCTTGTAATGTAGAATAATGTTTTGATACCCCAGTGTCTCCTCTATTTTATAGAGGCCAGAACAGGGAAGTTTATAGCCTACAGCTCCAAAGAGAGCCCTTATTAAGCCTGAGACTAGAACCCAGGTCTCCCACAGGTAAGCAGCCTATTACCTACTTGCCAGACTCTTTCTTGTTCACCCATGTAATACTACCCAACAATGGCTCCTTATGCAGGTCCCATGCCCCATCACCATTCCAAATGCTGATTCTTTAACACTGTCTCATGACTCCCATTCTATTACTCTTTCCCAGAATTTCTCACCCTTTTCCTGCCTACTGCCTCTGACTAGCACATGCTCTCCAATGCAAAGCCCAACCCCATAGACTTGGAATTCCTTAATGTCCATTCCATGTTATACCTCAGTTTTATGGAAGCAATGTCAGCAGCCTTGGGGAAAAGGTTCTCTGAGGGTTTCCTGAAAATCAGTTCACGAGCACCTGACACAGCAGCAGTGACACCACTGTGTCCAGCACTGCAAGTCGTGCCACAAGAAAGGAACCATTGGCTGCTGGTAATGCCAAGACCTTAGAGGTCTGCAGATGTGTTCTGACCTGTCATTGTGGAAGGATCCTCATTCTTTCTACAGCCAGGCAAGATGGACAAGCAGCAGGTTAGCCCCTCTCTCCCCGACACATGCTATGCTAGCACAAAAGCCAACAGGCTGCAGATATCTTTGTGTTAGGTGGGCAGGATGACTCAGTTGCACTCATGTGGCTGCAGATGTCTTAAATCTCGGCCAACGTAACTTTTGACTTGAGTAGGAAAAACTGTCACCATTTTAAACCCAGACAAGCTAAAAAAAAATAAAAGTTTCACAGCATAGTTCCCTCTCTGAGTAACAGTCACCATCTCAAGTCAAGCTGGAGATTGGCATGAGGCTGACACAGGGAGGAACAGAAAAAATGCACAGACCAGCAGCAAGGGAAAATGAATTATGAGCCACTGAACAGATTTTCCACACTGTGACTGCCAGAAAAGAATTATCCCAGGAAGGTCAGATTCTAAACATGTTCTTTGTACCGAGAGCCCTCCTCTCTCCTCTAGGAGTTGTTTATACCTATTAGAGCAGATGCTTTCCCCTTTCTTTTTCCTGAAGGGTAAATGTGAACTGAGCAGATGATACAATCCAACTTTAGACACAGTCTGCCTGACAGATTTTTCTGTCTTCACTTTCTGAGAGGGTATTATGTACTATGGGGAAAAAAAGCCAAACCCAGCAGCTGCAATGCAAACCAGGAGAGTTTAAGAGCAATCTGAGAGGGGCATTTCTACTGCACTGAGAAGGAAGTGAGCAGAGATTGCACCAACTCCAAAGGCCATTAGCATCCTCAGCAAGTACAAAGCTAGCATCTGACTCTCTCCAACCTGCCCACTCATCCACAGGGCCTTTCAGATACAATTGCTGGCAGAATGTGCAGAACTTTCAGCAACATTTAACTGTCCCTCTGAGAAGCTTCCATAGCAAGTTGGTAGGAAGACTGAGGACAAAACTACCCACAGACTAACTGGCTACAGTATACCCTATTATGCAGCCAGGCAGAGACCACAATGGCCTTTCTGCTAGTAAGAAAAACATTTCTCCATATGCCAATTCAGCATCAGGGAATAGATTCAACACATCACACTGCCCTCAAACAAACATACCGAGAATACTAAAGAGAAGCAAGCAGCAAATTCAGCATGCAAGGACAGATGGCATAAAATATTCTCTAGTCCTTCCTCCCAAGTGCTTCACAGGGACCGCCTAGAAAGCTGACAGTCTGCACATCTGCATACTCCATATGACCTCTACAGAGATGCCTGGCAGTCATATTCATGTCCTTGCCTTCAGAAATGACTTTCACTCAGTTCTATGACTTGCACTCAGACACTTCCATACATTTCTTATGTAAGCACTTTGATTGGTTTGCTGCAATTAGCTAAATTACTAGAAAAAAAGAACAGATAAGGAAATTCCCTAAACAGCAAACAGTCAAAGACTGGGAGAACAGTTGTAGGGGCATATCATCCTCTGCGTGCTTGCCTTCCTTTTGTTTTTCCCTGCTGCATTCAGGGGTAACCACTGCTGAAGAGGACTGGGCTATAAAGATTCCTAGTCTGTGGCAGCACAGGGGAGCTATCTTCATGTTCCCCTAAAACAACTCAAGCCAGTTACTGTCCCAGCAGAGCACAGAGAGGAAGGGAGAAGCTGTGATAATGGCACAAGAAGAAAGGAGACCAGACCTTACCATAAGTGACCATAAGCAGCAAAAAGTTGGCATTGCGGAGCAGGCGGAGGATTGACTGCACGTAGGAATACTCTGCAGCTGGTCTGGACTGGATCAGGGCCTGAGCTCGGCTTGGAGGGTTCGGGGGCTTCTCCTTGAAGACTGAAAGCACACAAAAAAGTACACCTGTTTGTAATGGTGCAGTTGAGGGGCCTGAGCACACACTGTGCCATCTGAGGGATGGCAGAGGGGCTGCTAGAACCAAGTGTACAAAACACACCATTTTCCTTAAGCTTTGATCTCCATGCATGAACTCATCCAGGAACAGAAAGAACAGCTCTCTTCCAGCAGTAGCTCCTGTCTCCTTCCCAAGGGAAACATCTTGCCTTCAATTGGATTTTTGTGTAGGCAGTGTCCAGCAGCACCAAAAGAGTTCTCAAGATTATTATCAGACTTTGTCTCTAGAAGGATGACCATCCAGGTGCAAAAGTGTTATGTGGATTTACAAATGACAAAGCAGAACTGGACAAGTCAGTTGACAAAGGTGGCCTAGTGTTCTGCAGTGGCCAGTGCCCAGGGAACAATAACCTTTGCCAGGTTTTATTTCAGGCCAAGCCATCTGCTGCCCCTTACTATCATTAAAGTAGCATCCAGAAATCCCAGTCACAGGTGATACTGCCGTGCCAGGTGCTAGACAGGCATTTTTGTACCTTGTCTATTCTCTGCCCCACACTGTTTGAAGCTACATCTGATTCAGCCATCAGCAACAGAACAAACTGGCAAGAGGAGCCTATCAAAAACAAATTGCATGGAATTCAGCAACTAAACTCAGCTCTCCAGTGAGCATGCCAATGTTTCATGCTAAAGATCTGGCTTCAACTTCATGTGTTAAGCAGGGAATTGCATCTCTAGTGTCCTGCTACTGTCCTTCATGCTTTTTTCCTTCCACTCATAACTGGGAAGAGCTTGTTCCTGTGATGCCATATAATCTGCCTCCTTCTACTCTTCAGGGGTAGGCAGGTCCCAGACATAACCCAGGGGCCAGCACCCTGTTTGTAGGGAAGATGACTATGAAAGATTTCTGCTGGTTTTTCAAAGACTTACTCATGCCTGGAATTTATTATGCAATAATGGACAAAACTAAGAATTTGGCAGGCTTGCTGACAACCTCCCTTCAACATGTGCTGTTCATCAAGGGTTTGAAGCAGCAAGATACAGTATTGCATAAGCCTGTCAGCTGCATGGTAGGACACCTCCCCAGAAGGCCTGCCCAGCCCATGTCCTGGCACGCAGGCCCCCGTCACACATCGGCTGATCTCAGTCCCATCTGGTTTCATGTGCACACTCCCACCTCCTTACCTATAATGACCAGGATGAACAGGGCTGATGCCACACCTGCAGTCATGAAGAACATGATGCTGATGTGGTAGGCCAGCTTCTCCACATCCTCCACATTAGGGATCAGAACTGGAGGGACCAGAAAGCCTGCAGCAATGCCAAGCTGAGGAGAGAGAGGGGATAAACAGAGGCATGACATGAAACCGCAACAGGGCCACTACCCTACAGCTCAGTGCAGGCTCAACTGAGCCTAATCCAATTTCACAACCAAGATGAAATTCTTCTTTACCACCCAACAATTAAAAGTCAGATACCCATTTCAATTAGGCCATAAGAGAGGTTTCCTCACTGCAATTACAACTGTCAGGATATTCAAAGCAAGGTTTTACAACACAATTGAGAAGAATGAATACCTGGCTTCATCAAAGTGGAGGTCTTGCCTGCCCTGACCTCCCCCACAAATATATGTTCCTGTTCACATACACATCCCATTCCTTACCTTGCCCCTGCTCTAGAGCTGGCCTGATCACCTGGTAATCCAGTTTTGCTCATTAAAAATAGCAGAAAACAAGACCATCAAAACCAACCAAAATATTTGCTGGGTTAATGAGTTTTCCAACAACATAACTGCAAGGGCCGAGACACCTGACCACTCTACATAACTGAGATATTAATCTGTTTCAGCCAACTTTGATACAGTTTCAAATGAGCAGCCTCCCAGGACAAAGCTCATCCTATAACCATCAGGAGAACCTAGAAGAGCATCAGGGTGAAAGCAAAGGAAGTGTTGACGGCACATATCCTGGATGTCAAGGTTGTTTTAGTAATGGAGCTTGGCAACTGTCCCTGGAAAAACTGCTCTGAAGTGTACAGAAAGCAAGGACTAAGGAAGGCAAGTTCTGGGCAGCCCATAAACCTCACTGAAGCATGTCAGCACAGAGCAGAAGACCCAAGAGCCCTGTAACCCAGGCATGAGCTTGGACAACTTTCCCAGGCTGATTTCTAGCAAAACCTCCTTGCACACATATCTCCATGTTTCTGGGATACTGACAGACTCATTCTGGAAGACGTGACTTACTGGTCAAGACAAAGATCTCAGAACAAATATATTTCAGTTGCCATATCGCATATTTCAGCTAAAAATCAGCTTGTGCCCCCCAGCCCCAGAAAACTCTCCACAAAATCTCTATCTCTACTCCTCCATCCAGCTGGTGTACCTTTCAGATAGGAAGAAAGCTCTGTTTGAATCCTAAGCAATCTGCTGCCCTCAGGCACCACATTTAGCTTACAAAAAAGTGACTTTCAACCACATCTGGCCAAACTTCTCCTGTGTCACACAGTACCCTCCACTGGGACCTGGAATATCCTGGGTCAGAATGAGCAACAGATATCCACACTTCATTCATTCTCTCAGACATTACAGGGAGCTAGTGAGAAGAGCCACTGAGAGATTTCAGATGTGCCCCACCAGCTCAAGGCACTGTCAAGAATAAGAACATTTGAGGTTTGGTTACACAGACTGAAGACAAACCCAAGCTGTGCCATCCCAGATAGCAATTCAAGGACTGAGTTTAGGAGGAAACTTTAAAGATCATTAGGGAGAATAAGCCTTCCTTACACCCATATGGCACAGCCAGACTCTGACACAGGACTAAACTTGCCAGAGCTCAGTTTTGCCCAGATATGACCTATGCCCAGCCTCTCATCACAGCGACTCAGGCTGACTCTCCTTGCACTGCCCAGTGACTACAGTGAGCACAACTATCATGGTTTAGAGGCTTCAAGCTCTAATCTCCATCCAACTGCACGCCTCCCCTTCCCTACACAAGCCTGCAGCTGCACAGAAAAGGTAATGGCATCAAGCACAGAAGCTCTCAGAGATGGCTGGTAGAGGGCAGAAGCCTGCTTGTCTCTGCAGCAGATTTATTTTGCCCTCCCTGTGGCCAAGTGCAGGCCTGTGCCTCTGGTGTGCCTGGTCAGCCCAGGACACAGCCAGCTTGGGCTTCACTCCTATCTCCAGAACATTTCTGAAGATTTAACCTTTGAGGAAAAGGCTCTCAACAATGCTCCTTTCCATTTGAGGGAAGAGTCCTACTGAGTCTCAGAGATCAGGTTTTCCATGTGCCACTCACCCTTTCCCAAGTAAGGTTTACAAACACCTTACTGGAAACTGACTTTCTGTCTTACCACTGTTTCATTCTTGGAAGAACTAAGCTGGATTCCTGTGCTAGGTACTTCTTGGCTTCCTTCTCTCTGCAATCACATGAGCTGCTGAACTGCAGCAAACCAACAGGGGAGGAGAGACCCACGCTTTATTCTGACCTCTGACACAAGTTTCTCCAGGACCACAGTTGAGATTCAATCTTTTCCAATCTCCTTCCAGCTGCTCAATCCTGAAAAAGGATCTATCTGATATACCTAGCAGAGAAGGTATTGAGAGTCTGTGTTGCAAATTGTTTAGAAATCCTTTCCTGGGAGGTCCTACAGTCATCACTTACCCAATGGGCCACAGACTCACTCAGCTTTCTTGAACTACTTGTTGGCCTTTTCAGGACTTTCCTGAACAACTTTTCTAACCACAAACAGATGTTTTGTGCTTTCTCTTCTCCTCCCCCAAAAAGAAGCAACTTTTATCCATTTAAAGTTCACTATACCTTTCATAAGAATCAGGTAGCAGAATGGACAAAAATCATAGCAATAGGAGCTACATTTTATATTTCAGAGCAACTCATGCTCTTGATTCTGTGAAGATAAGGCCCTTTGACTTGACTAAAACTGAACATTTCCTGAACACTCGCTGACCCTGAATTATTCATACCATTTTTAGCAAAGAAGACAAGCTCTCAACAACATGATGACTATTACACTGCATATACTTTACCTTTAACAAGGAGATTTTTAGCCTGGTTTTCAGCAGGTCAGTGTGCACATTACCATCAGCCCACAGAAACACTGTAACCAATTAACCAGAAAATGTAGAAGATACCTTAGAAAGGGAAAAATCACGTCTCCCTTCTGCACACCTTGCACATCAGGGAAAATAAAGCAATGCAAAAATAAGGTTAGTTCTGTAAAAGTCCATGATACCCTCCTCACAGACACCATCAGTCATAATGGATCATAATGGACCCTCTTACTAAATTTGCATCTCCAACCTCTATACAGGCAGATAGGTCTCCAATACCTATACAGATAAGCTTGTTCTCAAAATTTGGTTCCTCTCACCCAAAACACCCAGCACTGTCCTGATCTCTGAGGATCTCTCCAGGAGATCAGGCTGCTGGCACTTTATTTTAATAAGTCTTTGGGGTAATTTTTAAACATACTACCAGGAAAGTCAACAACTACAACAGAGAGCACTGTTCAGATGACTTACTCTTTAGAGACTAGTAAAGGGTAGAAGGAATGTATTTACTACCTGAATTTTGTGAAGGATCAGTCACAACAACATTATATTCAATATTTAAGTGTGCACAAGAACAGGCAACAAAACCAAGAGCAAGTAGCTAAGAAGGTGGTGTAAATGTATCCAAAGACTTGAAACAGAAAATTTCAAGTCTTTGCCAAGAGTCTCCTGAAGGAAGATAATCAGTGGTGTATCAGCATAAAAACTGTAAATGAGTGATCAATGGAGGAGTGCAGGAGTGGACCTCCACCTCAAAGAAAACTACGAGTTAGCACCAGGAACACAGAAGCCCTGTAAAATTCCATATATACCATTTATACCTACCTATAAGTAGGTATAAATGTTGACAGAGGGGACCACCAAATACAGAAGGTCAATTAAAATGTTAAAAGACAGGAGATGCTGCAAAAGCAAAAATACACAACAGTTAGAAATTTTGACAATGCCCTTGCAAGCTAAATAAGCATCATGACAGGGATGATGCAGAGACTGCATTTTTGGATTCCATAAATACCCTCTTCTGAGGAAAACTTATAAGAGGCAGCACAATTTGTGATTTCAACCCAGAACAGCAGTGTGACTATGATCAGTATTACAGAATGGTTCTGTACTGGACTAAAATTCAGTTGCCTTGCAACAGCGACAAAAAAAAGAAAACACCCTCCAAAACACTACAGCAATATATAACTCAAAAGAGGAAGCTGCCTAAAAGGAATAAAAGTGTGTTAAATGGAAATGAAGAAGAAAATGCTAAGAAATTAAATGCTTTTAAGTGTCACTAGGATTGTGCAAAAACACTAAGTCAGAGGCTCACTGTAAGCGTAGAGAATATTAGTAAAATATTTTAGAATAAACAAACCACAATTAAGTAAAAAATAAAGACAAAAAACCCAACAAACAAACCTCCCCCCCAAAAAAACACCAAAAAATAAACCACCGACAAGAACATAAACCACCAGCTCTAAAACTGGACATTATTCCTTCGAGCAAAGAAAAATGACAGCAAGCTGGACCAAGCTAAAGCAAAACCATAATTACGCCAAAAGAAGCACCAGAACAGCTTTACAAACTAAGTCAAAACTCTTCAAACACAACAAAATCAGGAATCCTGACAGAAGGGTCAAAAGATGATCAGTGTGGAAGGAGAACATTCAAGAAAGAGGTCTTGGACCATCATTCATGACATGATGCCTTATGAGTGGAAGATATGACTCAATTTTTTAAACTAATTTCTTCTATGAGGTATCAGGACCAGTTGGTATTCAATTACAAGTTCAAAAGAACAACTCAACAGAAAATCCACATTACTGGCATACAAACATACCAAATGGTCTGTTACCAAATATTCAAATTGCGAAGGGAGGAAGAGAAAAGTGATGCTAATTTTTAGGAGGCTCAGCATAAACAGAAATCCCAGGAAACCCTGAAACCAGCAGCCAGCTGGTTTGGCCAAGTGGACAGAAAGTGTGGCAATCAAAAGATCTGTGCTTTGATAAACACCAATACAACAGGCTTTTCAGAAACCATGATTTCAGTATGGTCTTAGCATGTTCCCAAGCCAAGACTTTGGAGAGTGAGTAGGATACACCCCAGATTCCATCTGGATTCACCCTGTCAAACTCCTTTAAGATGCTTGTTCCAGAGCTCTGGGCAGCACAGGATCCTCTTATACTCTTGTCTGTGTATCAAAGCTCTGTCCTAGGCCCTCCCTCCTTTTCTAACTACAGGTGCCCCTCAAACTGTAACCATGACATTTC